TTCCATGAAGCTGGATTCATGGTTGGTTTAAACGACGATCATGGTGCAACCTTAAATAAGAAGATTCGCTCCTCTCAGCTGGCCCAGTACAACTACATATTTGGTAAAGATGAATAATGAAAGCAGCAAATTAAAGCTGCCTATATCAGTGTTCTGGGTTATTTTTCCCACTGATGCTCCATCATCTGTTCCTGCCTCCCTTATATCAGTGTTAACATATTTGAGCTTTTTTTGCCTTCTTTTTTTGCAGTTGTGGGTGATAAGGAGTCTGAGAGTGGAGCAGTGAATGTTAGGAGCAGAGGAGGTAAACAGCTGGGCAGCAGACAGACGCAGGAGGTGCTGCGGTCCCTCATACAGCTACGAGACACCAGGAGCAACCAAGACGAATTTTAAGAACGGACTGTCCCTGAATTATGTTCTGCTTTATTACTTTTCTTATGAATGTCAAAGCTATCAACTATAATAAAAGTGCATTAACACTCATGTTTATGCTCCTATCGATATCCTTTAGTGGAATTTGATGATAAATCTGTTCCCTGAAAAATATAGAGGGGAATTTTAAGGCCATTTAAAGGTCATTATCAGTCTAACAGCTGCATTATTCAGAGGCAGATGCAATTTGTTCACTAAAAGCCATTAAATATGCAAACCTTCTGCCTGTTTTATAAGGACATGAGCAGAAAACCAGACATACCTTTAAAAGACTTGGGGAGAGAGACAGAGGGGGATTTGACTAAAATAGGAAAGGTGGACGTGGTGTCAGACCCGCGTGTTTTTATGTTTAGCTGAAACGGATAAGTCAAAGTAAAGGTCAAAGGGATTGGATGCTTTCCCTTCTCTTTAATTGAAAGAGGGCAGCAGGGTGGAAAAAAGACATCAGTCAAAACAGTGACACCAAGGCAAAGAGAAAGAAATGGGATTCTACAAAAAGTTAGAAATAATGATTTTTGTAAAAGTACTTTTTTCTTTTCTAAGAGATTCAGGCAATTAAATTAAAATGTTCCGAGCAGGTTGACAGGCTTTTTATTTCAGATCTTTCGAAGAAGCATTTTTTTCTCCCAGGAAAAAAGACATTTCCATTAATAAGAATGCCTTGTTTTCAGTGTAAAACTTCAAATGTAGTCTGTTGTAAATGACTTAAGTTGCAAAATTGTATATTTTTTTATGAAGTATGTTGATATAGCAAGAAATCAAGGAGTTTAACAGAGTAATGCGATTAAACGTAATGGAAAATAATGAATTTAGCATGTTTAAATCAAGTCAGAATACTGATTCAATTTGATCATGGCGTACTTTACCTTAAACCTTTACTGGTGTAATTGTTTACTTTTGTAAAGGAAATAATTTTATTGCAGGAGAAATCTGAAGATCAGCCTCAAACAGGGCAATTATTCCTTTCAGGCATTTAAATGTGATGTTTTCTTTTTCGCACCAGATTTCAAAGCATGTTTTATAGCCGTGAGGCTCACAGAGTGCTGGAGTTTGTCCAACTTGTGGAGATAAACAACGAGGCTGGCAGTTCAGCCACCAGCCAACATTGCACAGTAGTGGTGTAGTGATGACACGGACCATTTACGTCCAGTAAAAACTCCTCAAATCTTTACTCTAGATAACAACTGCAGCCTCCCTTTCCCCCGCCGCTGTCCACCCTCCACCCATGTAATCTCCTGTCTATAAGAAGCACATACACATAGATGGCAGCTTTCCATTCATTTAGAGGGGTCACTCAGAGTTCGTAGAAAATTATTTTTAGCTGAAGGGACTTACCATAAACTGCATGATGTCAGATTGTGGAAAAATAAAGAGAAAAATTATTTGAACTACAGTAGAAGGTCTGTTATGCTACATTATTGTTGATGTAATAAATAGCTATGTAAATGTACCAGTCGTTCTCAAGCCTTACTTGGCCTGTAGAAAGATCAAGGAAAACATCTTGGGGAAAAAAACGCTTGTTTTTATTTAATAAGTAATTCGTTATATGAGGTTCTGCAGTTTACTAACATTTTGAGACCATTACATTTGAATGCCATGAGTCCGCTATCTTAGATTTTATATATTAAGTCTGATATTCTATCCAAACTTGATGGGGTTTTTTTCTTACTACCCAAACAAGGAAATAGGTTTTTTTAATTAAAGATTGGTGTTTTTACGCTGCATGGTTCCTTAACATAATTTAAACTTTCATTCTTTTCTAGAGCACAATTACAAAGTGTCTTGACTGAATGCTAAAGATCACTAAATATAGCTGGTACTTCTGCAGTTGTTAGGCTTTGAATACACAACCTGCAACAAGCACAGACCTGACTGAATGATTGAAGAAAGGGCTGATTGTCTGAAGATTGATTCAATCATAAAGTTGCACCTCTAAAAAACAATCTAAAGCAGTTTTATTGGCTGCAAGATAGTTGTGAGTTGACAGCCCCACTGTGGTCTGAAATGTATAGATTCTATGGCCTTTCTTGGTACTCCAGCTTCCAACATTAAATTAACCCCTTTGCCCTGGAGTAGCCTGGCTTATGATAGTCTGCCCCAGGGTAGCTGTGGCTACGATGGAGCCTACAACCACTAGCATGGGAAGAAGTGACAGACTAATCCTAGTGTGAAGCATGTTGGTGTCCTTAGACCTGAAGTGCTATACGGGTACAGGCCATATTCACCCATATTTCCCACTGGTTGACCTCTGGGGGTACTCCGCCTCTCAACTGCTGGAGACGTGCACTAGTGACCCCGTGAGGATTTACACTATATTGCCAAAAGTATTTGCTCACCTGCCTTGACTCACATATGAGCTTAAGTGACATCCCGTTCCTAATCCATAGGGTTCAATATGACGTCGGTCCACCCTTTGCAGCTAGAACAGCTTCAACTCTTCTGGGAAGGCTGTCCACAAGGTTTAGGAGTGTGTTTATGGGAATTTTTGACCATTCTTCCAGAAGCGCATTTGTGAGGTTGCACACTGATGTTGGACGAGAAGGCCTGGCTCTCAGTCTCCGCTCTAATTCATCCCAAAGGTGTTCTATCGGGTTGAGGTCAGGACTCTGTGCAGGCCAGTCAAGTTCATCCACACCAGACTCTGTCATCCATGTCTTTATGGACCTTGCTTTGTGCACTGGTGCACAGTCATGTTGGAAGAGGAAGGGGCCAGCTCCAAACTGTTCCCACAAAGTTGGGAGCATGGAATTGTCCAAAATGTCTTGGGATGCTGAAGCATTCAGAGTTCCTTTCACTGGAACTAAGGGGCCAAGCCCAGCTCCTGAAAAACAACCCCACACCATAATCCCCCCTCCAACAAACTTTACACTTGGCACAATGCAGTCAGACAAGTACCGTTCTCCTGGCAACCGCCAAACCCAGACCCGTCCATCAGATTGCCAGATGGAGAAGCGCGATTCGTCACTCCAGAGAACGCGTCTCCAATGCTCTAGAGTCCAGTGGCGGCGTGCTTTACACCACCGCATCCGACGCTTTGCATTGCACTTGGTGATGTATGGCTTGGATGCAGCTGCTCGACCATGGAAACCCATTCCATGAAGCTCTCTGCGCACTGTTCTTGAGCTAATCTGAAGGCCACATGAAGTTTGGAGGTCTGTAGTGATTGACTCTGCAGAAAGTTGGCGACCTCTTCGCACTATGCGCGTCAGCATCCGCTGACCCCGCTCCGTCAGTTTACGTGGCCTACCACTTCGTGGCTGAGTTGCTGTCGTTCCCAAACACTTCCATTTTCTTATAATACAGCTGACAGTTGACTGTGGAATATTTAGGAGCGAGGAAATTTCACGACTGGATTTGTTGCACAGGTGGCATCCTATCACAGTTCCACGCTGGAATTCACTGAGCTCCTGAGAGCGACCCATTCTTTCACAAATGTTTGTAAAAACAGTCTGCATGCCTAGGTGCTTGAATTTATACACCTGTGGCCATGGAAGTGATTGGAACACCTGATTCCAATAATTTGGATGGGTGAGCAAATACTTTTGGCAATATAGTGTAGCTTCTATGGATATAGATGTGGAAAACCATCATATTTCAGACTTTTTAAGATAGAAAAACAGCGTTTTGTGAAGGTTTTGTTTTGTGGAACTAAACAACCTTGAGTCTCGGAGACAAAAAACATTTGTGCATAAAGATGGTTGATTAACAATTGAAGCTGTAACTCAGGATTGCTTAATATAAAGGTAATAAAAGGTTCTTGACCTGAGACTTGTAATAAATGGAAAATATTTACCTTTTATGAATGGTTTTGTATTAGACTTGACCCAGTTTCAAATTATTCATATTATTATAGACTTTAGACTATATTAGACCACTTTTATTGTCATAAATTTCGTTTAGTAAAGCTTTTTCAGACAGTAAATAAACAAACTCCTTATTAACAAACTTTCTGAGTTTTTTTATTTCATTGTAAAAAGGTGCATCTCTCCAAGGACAGTTACTCAAAAACAGATTTTGATAAACCAAAAGCTCTCGATTAATTTATCAGACTCAGTGAAACAAAGTAACACATTCTTATTTTTGGTTTTCAGTGAAGCTGAAAGTAGTTTGTTAAATTAATGTTTTTCTTTTGATAAAAAAAGCAATAAAATAAACATGTAAACCCATTTTAAGACTTAAAGAGTTAATTTGAAGAAAAAAAGAACTGAGGTATGTAGTTTACTCTTTGCATGGCGCTGCTAATAAAAAGTTGAAAAAAATGTTTTTTTGAAAATATATAAAGATGGAGTTATCTGTTTTTGCAAATGAACTCTTCATTTTCAGTTCTACAAAAAACTGCTTTGATTACTTTTGATTAGACAATTCTGGCTCATTTATCAAAAATTCAGCACTAAACTGAAATTACGTAGGGTAATAGAGCTGAATTGGTTTCATATGAACAATGTGGCTGAGAGATTTTTGAGGAGATTTTTTTTTTTTTTGGTGGTGAATGACCAACACTGTAAAGATGTGGTTAGACAGAGAATTATATCCTTGGAAAATATCTTTGGGGTTTCTTTGATATCGCTGCCGACCTGGAAGTCCCTTTTTCCTGGTGGGAGGCAGGGTGATGGTGACCCAGGCCGGAGGCAGAGCCCAGCAGGCCCGGAGCAAGATAAACAGCCTGCTCTGTATTGTTCTCCCAGTATCACAGAGAGGCTGTCAGCTTGAGTGATTGAAGGCTGGACTTCCCAAAATAGAATCTCCAAGGCCGGACTCGTCTGTTCCATCCACCCTGTTATAAATAACCTGTGTGTGTGCTCATTTTATGGATTTGTGAATCAAGGGAGAAGGTAAGAAAGGAGTGTGGGTAAGCAGGGGCAGAGAGAGATTTGATCACTGCCCGGGTGGCCTGAGAGAAAGAAGCCACTGAAGACAATAATGGGAGGTTTTCAAAGCTGCGAGTCAAACAGGGACAGAGAGGAAGAGCACATAACCCCCCACTGACCTGCACACATACACTCTGATCAGGCTTTCTGATGGTCTGCATTACACTGAGCCTTCTTGAACCAACCATCTCATGTGGGAATTGCTGAGAACATTAAAACAAATGTCAATCAGAGCAAACAAGTAGTATTATCTGGAAGATGCCAGGTTCAGAACAAAATGACCAAGTATTCGAGGAGGAAAGACAGCTAGATTTAACCAAAGGTTTATTTATCAAGGAACTGCAGAGAACAGCATCGGCTTCCAAGGCAGGCACCTCTGCTGAGGGAGAACACAGGTTAGTGATCACGTCTATCTGCCACAGGATGATAACGAACGTGTGAGTCACTAACCTTGTGTTATAGTTCCAGGTCAGCTACCAACAGGATGCGATGGACGCCGCTCTGAACTGAGCAGACGAAGGAAGGCAGGATCACCCAGAGGTCGAAGACAAGGCTGTTGTCGAGGACATGCTCAGGAGTCAGAGCCAGGAGATCAGAGATCTGTAGAGGTACTGAAGGGAAATCCAGGAAGGTGTCGGGAAACAGTTCCTGGTTCGGTACACAGGCAGAATCCAGCAGAAGTCCGTTAACAGGTCAGGCAAACAGATCAGAACGGGGACAGTCAGGCTCAGAGGTCCAGAGGCAGAACTGTTTAGGATCAGGCAATCAGAAACACTCAGGAACGCTAGAGAACTTTCACCACAGGCTTGAATAATCTGGCCCTGATGACTGGTTGAAGGCTGGTTAAATAGAGGCTGAAGCAGGTGGATAAGATGAGCGGTACTGAGAACTGGGAAAAGCAAGGCAGGTGGACAATATGAGCAATCAAACCAGTCATCAGTGCCAAGCTCATGACAGAAGATCCTTTTTAACAGGGACTTTAGTGACAGACTGAGGCCTGGAGAGCTTTAGGCTTTGTTCTAGTATCTTTTGTAACCTTCTAAGGAGTTACAAAGGAGTAATTACTAGAAAGGTTCATTGCTGTTCCAGATTTTCTTTGGTTTTGGTCAACAGCCCTCACTGTGATTTTATTGAGCCTCAAAACATTGAAATATATCTCTGGTAGCCTTTTCCAGGCTGACAGATGTCCATCCTTTGTTTCTCATCTGTTCTTGAATGATTTAGGTTAAATCTTTTTTAAGACCCTTTAACCAATTTTATTCTATTTAGGTTAATAATTGACAAATTCTGAGAAAAATCACACCCGCAACTTTTTCTGCACAGTACCAGCTTGGTATGAGGAGCTTTTTTAAAGGTGATAAATTAAATCATTGTTTAAAAACTGCAATTTTGCTTAATTATTATGGATAAGATTAATAAGTAATGAAACATATTTAAGGAACTAAACAGTTTTTACTCCTCTGTAGAACAACAATCATCTTGCAAATGTTTGGCAAGAATTGCTTTTATTGTGTCAACACAAAACGAGTAGTGTATAATGACACAAGTATTACTTAACAATGTTTGTGCTAACTGAAAATAATTCAAATGTTTAACAATGATTTATTACATCTGTTTTCTAGGCTGCAGTAATCCCTGCAGGGCCTCTGACTCTATCTGCAGCTGAGTCAGTGAGTGGTTGGCACACCCTGGAAAAGGTCAGCCACGCAGCAGACCAACCCTGTGTGCAAACGCCCTAACATAAGACCCATGGAGAGTGGGCGAGAAGCCAAAGGTGAGGAAATGGCAGACCTGAGAAAACCATTTCATGCACTGAGATAAGCTGCTCTGCTCACTTTAAAAAAAGGATTCAAACTCAAAATCTTCTTCTTTTAGGAAACAACACAAACAGCCGCTCAGTAATGTTGATGTATAACAGGCTGCAAGGTGCATTAGGTTATAGTTCTGTTGGCCCTGGGTACAAATCCCAGCCCAAAAACCGCTGGCACCAGTGACCCTGCCGGGACACAGAACCAGGTAGAGAATGGACGTGTTAGCCTTGATGTTTTCCAGTGATTTAATGAACTGAAACGGCTTTTGAATCTAGATTTTTTTATGTAGAAAATCTTTAACCTCTAAAAAACAAAACTCAGAATATTGGGCTCTAAAAGCCTCAGAGCTAAATCTTCTTCATTCATCAGCATCACTTCTATGCCACACAGAAATAGTTGTAGAATAACCCTGTTTCTCCTTGAACTGCATGGAGCAACAACAAACAAACAAAACCTCAGGCCACCCACAGTGCCTCCCATTTCCAGTAACTTAATCAGGCCCAGTATCTAAGCCCAGTACAGAACCAACTCCCAGTTTGACTTTAGAGAAACGTTCTGGGCCTGCTCCTTCTCTTAAAAACTCGTTCACCCACTAGATTCCTTTTGTCCTTATGCTTTCACTTTGATTTATTTTAGCAATGGATGTTTCTGCAAACTCATGCTGATCCGTGGAAGTCACAGTTACAGAGACGCTCAGATAACTCCCTGCTCTGCACACTGGTTTACAGTCTCTGCTTGGCGTCCGACTCCTCAGAGGTATGTCTGCTATGCTCAGTGCCGCTGCTGACCCCATTTCCTATCCTGCTTGATTCGGAGCGGGACACCTAGTGGGAGAGGACTCCGTCGATCAGCCTCTGTGTGAAAGAAGCCTCAGTTTATTGTTTCTGTAAACCTGTTGAAACTCTCCGTAGAGGGCGGGGTTTATGGTTACAGGGGGAGGTCAAAGGCCCTGTTGACTCTCAAGTCACTTTTGTGAAAGAGAAGAATAAATCATTCCTGCTCTAGATCTGCAAATATTTACTGTTATCATCCCACATGCAGCTGCAAATCGCTGTAACCTCTTACTTCAAGGATGAACCAAGAGACAAAGTGTTTCTGCAGAATGTTTTCTAAGACTGCATGAACCTATGTGGAAGACATCTTTGGTTTGGTCAGAGCTTCAGAACTCTAGAAGCAGGGAAAGGGAATCAACCAGGAGACCTCTGGGTGGGACACACGCTTGCACTGAAACACCTCTAACATGCAAGAGGAGCCAGTATTTGAGCTTTTCTTACTGAAATCAAACACAATCGTCATTTTCCGTCACTATCATTGATACGGATGAGTATCAATACATCCTTCAGGAGCCTTCTTGGAAAGGTGCAATAGATTATAGTGCATGTGTGATGTCAGCTTGCTTTGCAGAATCTAGATGAATTAGTCTCTGTGGTTTCTGTGTTTTGCAGAGAAAGAGAGCAAATGAACAGTTTAAGAATAGAAAATGGCGCAGTTTTAGAGCATAAGTGAAACATTAAAGATGTCCATAATCAGTCCTGGTTCTTTCAGATCTGTTGGTTCATACTACGTGGATGTAAATGTTATATGTCCTGGAAAAGGTTTTATCTTTGTGACTGATCTACTAAGCATCTACACTCTGCGCATTTTTTAGAAATCTGATCTAAGGTTCCGGATTGTTACTATCACAGGAGAAAGTACAGTTTCAGTTTTATTTGAATTAGAATAAAATAAATAATCTTAAAATTTATTTCTGAAAATCATTCCAGAAACTGAATGGATGGTAATTCAGGTTTTTATGTCTGATAAGTTTGAAGATTGTTGCTTCCAAGTTAGGAAGTTTAAGTAAATTCAGTTTCAGTACAGAGATACTTTGCTAGAACAAGAATGGAAATTAATGGAAAGTTGTGCAGAATGAAAAACTGCAGCAGGAGAAAATTCACAGGACACAGGAATAACTCCAGATAGGATTCTGAAAGCAAAGACCACTCAGGAGTTTGGTACAGACTGACTGTGTTCAGCCACTCCTGACCACCAATAGAGGCATTTCATCTGGATCAACAGGACAAAAAAGCCTCCAAGCCCTCCTTTGAGATAAAAGTAAATTAAAGCTATCATAGTCTGTTGGAGGAGTGAAGAGGTGTAATGTTTCTACAATCAGAGAGCACATGGTGCACCATGTCATCTGCTGCTGTTGGTTCTCTGAGTTTGTCCAAATCAGCAAATCTTTTTAATGATCCTCTGATTTACTGAGATGCATCTCTGCATTTCTGTGAGGATTTGGAAGCAGATTCCAGAAGTAAAACACTTCTCAGTCTCAGTTCCATCTCCCATGAAGACCCCTAAACAATGAGCAAGAAGTGAATTGTCAAACTGACAAGTTGGACAGCAAATGCATGCCTGAACAAAAAAAGTTTCTCTCACTTCCCAACTTCAGTCTGCAAAAACATCCAACACAAAAGGCGAGCTTCACATTGTGCTCAGAGTTTTCCTTAGAGACGGCTGTCAGCTGCCTCGGGGCCCCAAATGCCAAACTTCACCTGGGTTCATTCATTAATTCAAAAAGATGCTAATTTGTATGGGAATATGCATTATTCAGCACGCAGCGTGATGATGGGGGCCTCTCTGTCAGTTCAGTGTTATTATTAAGCTGTCTTACATCTCTGCTGCAGTGGTAATACAGGCCTCTCAACACCACAGGTAGTTGGATCTGACGGTGTTTCTCCTGGACTCTGTCACCATTTTATTTAACTAATATTTACAAACATTTTCTTTTTCCAATGAAACTTTCTTACCTTTCTGACCGTTCACCAAAAATTAAACCGTAAACCTTTGAAGTAGAGCTCAACTTGCTTCATCTCCAGAGTGGCTGTCGCTCTGTTGGTCAGAATCAAGGAAATTAGCCATTAACATTCTGTGAGAATGGAGAGACAAGATCTTTTGGTTGTTTTTTATTATTTTAATTTAGAATTAATGATATAATGAATAAGCCATAAATCCTCTTTATAACAGTATTACATGGTAATAATGTTCTAATAGAGGAAGAGGATAAAATAAGTTTGTTTCCTCTTCATCCACCAGCCTCCTGCTAACAGGGTAGGACCACCAGCACTGCTCATTTTATCTTGTTTTTTGTTTGTATAAATCCCATTTCCTGGCCAAACATCTCCCTTTGTCAAACCTGGAGCCAATGATGTAAATAGGCAATACAGGCTAAGTTATGGTGCAACAGAGAGATAAAACAGATTGCTCTATTTCTACTGGCACTCATGTTTTCCCCAGCGATCCCTTTCTAATTCTGCTCTGGGTGCCTGCCCATGTTACCCACATAATAAACCTTCACTGACTGCAAAAACTATGAGATGAAAGGTAAACAGATAGATCCAGGTATCGGTGTGTTTTCTGGCAGAAAGCACATGTCAGGCTCTATGTGCCAAACTCAATGAACATCTGAGTTATTATCAGTGGGAGACAGCCTATCAGTGCTTATATATCAGGGTGATTTCCATACCCTGGATTTTGTTGAAACGTGGGCTACCATCAACGGGATATATTATTCTAAGAAGTCTCTAGTTATTTTTGCATTAAAAGAAAGACTTTTATTTGCTCCATAGATGAGAAGAAGTGCTGAAACAACTGGCTTGAAGTCATTTTCTGACTCAGAAATGTAGACTATCTAAAGTGTGGATTTATTTGTGTTTTCCAAAAACGAACCAATTTGTCTGAGAAAACACTATCGATTATTTTGTCTGAAAAAATAATATATAGTTAGAAATCCTGGGCTTTGTTACCTCATTAATACTCATTAAATTATTAATTATTATTAAATTATATAAGTGCTTTACACTGATGGTGGCAAACTACATGTAGCCACAGGTGCCCTGGGGCTCACTGACAGAAGCGAGGATGTTGTACACTGATGACACCGGGCCCTGTGACCACCATCAGTAGGAAATCCAGGTGAAATGTCTTGCCCAAGGACACAACGACACTGAAAGCCGGGGCTCGAACCGACAACCCTCTGATTGTAGCGTAAACTCTTGCACCCGATGCCACTGTCGGCCCTATATTAAACTATATAATATTTATAGGACACCTATCTGTCATGTCATTATGTTATTCTTATACATTTTTCTAAGATCCACATTTGTGTGACCATTTTTTCTATAATCTTTTTGCTCCCGTAAACAACAAAATTTCCCCATTGTGGGACAATAAAGGGATTTTTTATTCTATTCTATGAATCCTGCCTCATTGATTGTGTTTTAGGCTTTCTGGCTGCCTGCTGCTTGTTTCTCCCTGCCCAGCTAATTTCAGTAAGCAGATGCATCTGCCACTTTCCCAGTCACCTTCATTCCTTCCAGCTGTTACTTTGCCTCTTTCAGGTATTCCCTGCCAGTGTGTCTCCTCTTTCCCTGTATGAGAACCCCTGTAGTGTCAGCGCACACTGCCAGCCTTCACAGCTAAACTGTTTCTGACTGCTTCCAGTCTGCTATAAACCAGCTTCCAGTCAGTCGGACAGTTCAGTTTGTTCATAGCGCACGTGTTCAGAAATCAGCCGGTTCAGACTGTCATAGGAATGTCCCGTCTTCCTCTGCCAGCTCAAGCCTGTTACCAGACTGCCTGCCTGGATTCTTAAACAAACTTGTTCAATTAACATTTTAAACATGCTGTCTGGCTGAATCCCAAGTTTTTGTTGCTTTTTAGCAGTGAGCAGAGAAAAATATGAACAATCTTTTTATAATATTTAAAGAATGTACCAGAGTTCTGTTTATTTGTCAGGGCAAAAAATAGTTTAAAATCAACACTGAAATAGATGGTTTAAGTAATGGGAATAAGAGAGGTTCACAAAAACTGCATTTTAATTCTAATAGAATCACATTTATTAACCAAATTAAGTTTAGTTAATTAAAGCAGAAAGATAAATCTCACATTGGAGAAATTTATCTCTCCATTTAACCCATCCCCTTGGGGAGCAGTGGGCTGCCATAGTGGGGCACCACGGGAGCAGAGTGGGGTTAAGGGTCTTGCTCAGAGACCCAGAGTGGCAGTCTGTGGGAGTGGGGCTCAAACACAGAACCTCAACATTCCAAGCTCAATGCCCTAACCACTAGGCTGCCACTCCCCATAACAAAAATATCTTTGCAAACAAACCAATTCTTCTCAATAAGCTTCTTCTAAAAGTATATAATTTTATAATATCACTTTTTCACAAAACTGATCAAAGTTTTAGATTTTTTTTTTATTAACAATTTAGTTTCTCCGAAAGCTGAGTAAAGGACTTTCATTGAATTTCTAAATTCTGATACTTAAAGAGAGAAGAAAGGAAACTTGCCAAGGTTATCAGCCTTGTTTGATCTGCTTTCACCATCAAGAATGATCATAAAGCAGAAAACGGCTGCCTTGCTGGCTTAGATCTGCTGTTTATTTCACTTAACCAGCTTCCCTGTTTGCTGTGATGATTCCCCCCCCTTTATCTCTCACAGCTGATGCCTCCATCTCCCCTCCCACAACAGTCCCGTTTGCCCAGAGGTAACAAAGATATCCCCATATTGCATGATATATGCTAGCAGTTTGATGGAGGAGCACGAACCTAAAGAAATTCACTATAATAATAATTAAAATTACTGTCTTATGCCTTGGACTGTTTCCCTCCTCATGAATTCTGCCGCATTTCCATATTAAACCAAAAGATATTCCGACATCTCTCCCCCTCCGAAGCTAACCAGCTTGAAAGTAAAACATAGGAAGCATCACCTTTTAAGACTCCAAGTCTTAAGAGCACAAATCTGAGCTGTTTCTGAAGTCTTATCTTATTAACATAGATACCACTCTAGTCTAGCTGATGTTTCTATCTCTTATAAACAAACTATAGTGTAAGATATTTACGCTCATATGTTTAGCTGGTAGTATGGCAGTATTGGAACACCACAGGGTGCAGTACTAGCCCCTTTTTTTTTTTTGTACTTGGAAAACCTTTGACTTTGAGCATTAGCAATTGTGATTCTCTAATGAATGGCCCCTGGATCAGCTGATATATCTGTTCCTGAGCCCCAGTTGGCCCCAACGGCTTCTCACACTGAGTCTGGTTCTGCTGGAGGTTTCTTCCTGTTAAAAGGGAGTTTTTCCTCTCCACTGTCGCTACAAGCATGCACTGCCTTCAAGTCGATGCAATCAACTGGTTTTCCTTAGACAGAAAGCTTTGAATCAAATTGAC